GCCGCTGTAGAAGGACAGTCAGTCCTGCACCACCGTCGCATCTGTCATTCAATCCAACCATCAGCATTTTCCGTTAGCCACTTCATAGAAGCCGTGAGCCACTTCTGTTTCCAATCGATCTGCCGCCTATGCCTAATACAGATTTGCACCATTTTCTGAGATTGACCCTAATAACGAGCCACCTAAATTTTGACTCGACAATGTGGAGGCTGCTCTAGCTAGATCTTCGTAAACGGTGCAGATCGGTATTTCCTTTTTTATTTAGTTTTCAAGTTGGATTTATCGGATGGTTATGGTGGTTGTACGCTAATTTTTGCCGATGGTTGCAGTTCTGTGGTGGTTTCTGTCGAACGGGGTTGTTGGATTTGTATGCGCAGGTGTGGTGCTGTGGTGTTGGTGGGGGATCGGGCGATGGTAGTGGTGGTGCCGCGGTGGTTATCTGTGACTTAGTATTTGGTTATATGTGCGCTTTGAAGTGTGGATCTGAAGTTGGTAGCAACGGTGGTTGTGTGTTCTATGTGTGATTTGTGTGTTTGCTTTGTTGTGCGTGTGGCGATGGGGGTCTTGAGGTGGTGATAGTGGTGTTGGGGAGGGTGTTGTGTTGGTTTGAGATGTTAATGGTGTCGTTGGTGGAGGCGGTGGCGAAGTGGTAGTCACAAATGATGTTGGTGGTCGTCACAAATAGAAAAGAAAATAGGAAATCTTCCACAAATTAAGCACAAACAAGACCAAGATTGCTCCAACTACCATTATTCAAAGTTCTCTTTCCCAAATTTAGAAATATCCAAACAAAAAATACAAGTTTTTTATGTTTTGGATTTTTCTCTAATTATAGTGATAACAAAAAAACTCGACAAACCCTATACCCGCGGGACCCAGCCCTGAACGGGGCGGGAAAAACCCGCTTAAACGGGTAACGGGACTGGGAATTTTGCCCCGGGGTGGGGACGGGTGATGGGGTCCTCGTCCTGTTAAAAAAATTTTTTTTTTTTTTAGAATTCAATACTTTAAATGAAAATTTTCATTAGTTCTAATAGAAAATAGCAACTAAAATTATTTGTCTAAATCTAATAAATATGAGTAATAAAAATAAATTATCAAAAACTAAAAAAAAAATTTTAATGGGGAAAAGACCCGCCCTTCCTGCTTAAACGGGTAATGGGGTGGGGAATTTCTTAGCGGGGACCATCCCTATTTATTTAGTTATCCAATTCTATCATTTTAATATTATTTAATACTCTCTTTACATAGATTATAAAAGCAATCGCCGTAATTATCAATTTCGAGTTGAATAAACTCCCACTTACAAATTCTAATCATCTTTTTGCATTGTCTATGTCACTTTTCTTTGAATGTCGTGATTAGTTTAGTACGAATCATAAATGTAAATAATTGTCATTTATGATGTTTCTTTTTGAAACATCATAAAGAAATTCAAAGATTATCCCCTATGGATCAATCTTTGCACACATAGATTAATCCCTGGAAAAATATTTGGAAATAACATTGTTGACCTTGAGAGGAAATTGATTGTGTTAAAACATATGAAAAATTGAATAAATTAAATTGATGCATGCAAGTTGTTTGGGAAAAAGTAAATGTGAAAATGCGAGATGCTGTCACTTTTCTGTAAAAAAAAAAAAATCATATTATTTCATTGAAACAATTAACTAGATTTAATACGTGTTTATTTTTGGAAATTTAAATATATGAATTCAAACTTTATTTTACATTAATATATATGAAAAATTAATTTTCAATCAATTCAATAGATTCATGAAAGGTGCTTGCGAAAAGAATGTGGAAAAGTGATATTTCCTCTAAAAAAAAAAAAAAGTCACAATATCTTATTGGAACAAATAATTAGGTGCATATGTATGCATTTTTGGAAATTAATAAACGAATTCAAACTTGTTTTATGTTAATACATAGGAAAAAATAAATTTGAATCAATTTAATAGATGCATGCCACGGTTGCAAAAATGAGAATGTGAAAAAGTGACATTTTATTATTGTTCTATGACAGTTGCATTTTATCACTTTTCTCTTTAAAAAAGTCACAGTATCTCATTTGAGTAATTAACTAGATGCATATGTGCGCATTTTCTAAAATTTAATATATGAATTCAAACCTTATTTTACATTAATACACATGAAAGTTAACTTTGAATCAATTAGATAGATACAAACAATGTGTTTGCAAAAAGGAAAATATACATGAAAAAGTCGTAGTATCTCATTAAATCAATTAATTAGATGAATATATATATTTGTTTTGAAAATTTAAATATATTAATTAAAATATTGTTTTAATCTTGCATTCAATTCATATTTATTTGAATCAATTCAATTTATACATCTAAGGTGTTGTGAAAATGAGAGTGTTAAAAAGTGATATACTATCATTTTTTTAATGAAAAAATCGCAGTATCTCATTGAAATAATTAATTATATACATACATTTGTGTTTTTGAAAATTAAAATATATGAATTCAAACCTTGTTTTAATCTTGCATTCAATTCATTTTTATTTTATTTTTTTGAATCAATTCAATTGGTGCATCCAAAGTATTTGCGAAAATGAAAATATAAAATAGTGACATTCTCTGAAAGAGTCGCAGTATCTCAGTTGAGCAATTAATTAGATACATACGCGTGTTTTTGAAAATTTAAATATACGAATTCAAATATTATTTTAATTTTACATTCAATTCATATTTGTTTGAACCAATTTAATCGATGCATCCAAGATTTTTGCAAAAATGTGAAAGTAAAAAAGTGACATAATTAGATTTTTTTAAATTTCCGTTTTGGCCTATTTACGGCCTATTTTATTCACTCGTCGAGTAATGTTTTTGTTACCGTTTAAAAAATATTCACAACAAACTTTGAAATACATCTTTCGAATTTAAAAGTCGATAAGTGATGAGTTCATAATAACAAGTTAAAAATGCCGCAAAAATGGAGTTAATAATTACGGTTTATTTTACGTTCAATAATTTATGCAAAATAGGGCGGTGTTCTCTTTGTATTTCAGTTTTGAGTTTTGAATTTTGAATTCATTTTGTGTTTTGAGTGTCCATTTTTAGATTGTTGAAAATGTGTTCTTTTTACCATTTTGAAAAACACAAAAATGAAAAATATGTTCTCTTCAAATCACATTTTCCTCCCCCATCCGTGTCCGTCTCTTTTCCTCCCTTTCCCCCGTCCTTCTCTCTTCATCCCCCCTCCATCTCTCTTCCTCCCGGCTTCTTCCCGTCTCTCTCTCTCTTCTTTTCTGACCACAAGGTTGCTTGCGTGCGTGTGTGCTGTTTGTGGAGGTGAGGGGAAGGGGACGGTTGATAACTAGCAATTTAATCAGGAATGTTTCCAATTGGAGCTGTTTTTGGATCAATTGATGCAATTGACATGCTACCCATGGTTGTATAACGCTGTTGAAGACTCGTTTGGGGCAAATTTAGTGATTCGATGTAGTGGTGAGGATGAATTGAAGTTTGCACATTCGAACCCGTAAGCTGCGCGACTGGCAAGATTTGATTCTGATCGATTGAGAGATCCATTGGTAGAAATATGGCCATGGTTATGATTGTCTGGGTAAGGGATACTAATCGGCGATGGTGCGCGACCATGTGTGTCGCTAGAACAAGAGTTCCCGATAGTAGAAGTGTACGACAATTCCGATTTTTGGACTATTTTTTCTGCTGATTCCGGTGAGTTTGCTGCCGNTTTTTTTTTTTTTTTTTCATTTGGGTGAGCGTTTTCCGTGTTTTCCAACTTGTTTCGTGTTTTGTACTGAAGAATCCAAAACGACAATTTTGCCGTTTTGTGTTTTCAGTACAAATTTTTTTGTGTTTTCAAAAATGAGTTTTAGAAAATGAAAAAGAGAACGCGTTTTCATTGTTTTGGAAAATCGAAAACAGAAACGGCCTGAAAACGACAAAGAGAACAGGTCCTAATTTTTCGACATTTAAACTTTGTCCATAGCATATTTATCATGGTCACATTGCAAACTTTCTAACATATTTTAAATCGCTCAAAAAGGAGAACCATAACGGAAAATATCGTATCAAACGAAAACTTTTAATAAAAAAAAATATTATGTGGGGGAGTGCGGCCGTTTGGAATGATTTTGCTGACTTTCAATTGTTTAATATCTTTAGTGGACGTAATTAATACGATTATTAAAATTTTAATTTAGTTTAAGTGTAATAATCAATGTCTTAAAGAATACTGTATCTAATTTCCTCATTAATTAGATGAATGGATCCAACTTGTTGACTATTTGGATCTCACGCACCGGACAGACCAATTCCCAAATCCAGTCGCAAGGATCGCACCCGCCCAGAAAGCACACACCGACCCACCACTCAACCCGTTTAAGATATCGTCCCAATCCAAGGGCAATAAAGTCATTTCACGTTCAATTATCCGCGATACCCCAATTCGAATAATATTTTTATTTCGAAGCAAAACATCTCCCCTTAGCATCCGATCTCTCAAAATTTTCCAATTCTTGTTATTTTCTCGCTCTATATCTATCGATTCTATATATAACTACAAAATTGTGCACATCTTTTCATATATAAATGCAGTTTTATGTAACAGAGGGATGTGCACATAAATAGATTCCATTTTTGTTCCGCCGCAATCGACCGATCTGAGAGGTCAAAGTCCTCGTATGTCGGTTGTTAATTTTTCGGCATAGTAATGTTTAGACTCTGATTAGTTTTTCACCGGCGGCATGGTATTTTGGTTCGATGTGGTTTGGGAAGTTCTGTAGAGGAAAGTTCGAAATAGGGTTTGAAGTTTCTGAAAGGTTAGAGCTTTTTTGCGGCCTCTTGGGGGATCGAAGGGTATCAAATATTGGATTCCAATTGATTTTTTTGTTGGTAGGTTCATTTTGAAATAAAATATCGCTTCTTTTTAGTTTTTAAGGTTTGAACTAGGGTTGGAGTTTTCTGAAGCTTAGGGGTCTTTGGGATAGTGAAGTGAAATTAGTTATGACCCGGAGTTCGAGGCACAAATCCCATAAACAAAGCAAAGACAGTTCGAAGGATTATTCGGATTCTGAAGAGGATGTAAAGTTGAAGGAGAAAAGTAGCAGAGATGAGAATCCTGCCAGGGATTATCGGGGTTCAACCTCTGGCGAGAAGCGGAAAATATCATCTGTGTTGAGAGAAGGGAATGATGGTAAAGATCTGAGGAATGGTGAAGCATCAGAGGATTATGTTTTGTCAAAACTAAGAAAAGAGAAGGCTGACGTTGGCAAGGCGAGAGCTGATGTAAGTGTGGGTGTTGGTGATGATAGGTGGAGGAGTTATGGTGAGGATAAAGGAGGTACTGATAGAAATATTAAAAAGGAATTAAATAAAAGGGAAAGTTCGAAAATTGACTCAAAACTGAAGGAAAGTAACAGCAAAGGAGAAACATTAAGAATTGAGTCAAAGATTAAAAGAAAAAGGTATGAGATTGGGAGTGGAGGTGAGATTAAGGAGGATAATATAGCATCATTGTCGGTGGAGAAAGAGGAGAGTGAACGGAAAGGAGAGTCAAAAAGGGATAATATAGCATCATTGGCGGTGGAGAAAGAGGAGAGTGTACGGAAAGGAGAGTCAAAAAGGAAGTCTGAGAAGGATTCTTCAGGGCGGAAGGAAGGGAAGGAATCCAAGGATAAGGGTCGTGGGTCGGAGAAGGAGAAGAGGGTTAGTGAGGAGAGTATGCGTGGGGATGCTGAGGTGAAATCCATGGGGGTGTTTGGGCAGAAGCAAGGGTCACAGTTAGGAGATTTTAGCGAGGAGACAAAGACTAAACTTGATCGAGAAAATACTGGTAAGGTAACTTATTGTCATGGCATGCATGCAAGTGACTTGTAATTGCTGTTTGTGCGTGTGCCAACAAAACTTGCATTGATTTTTGGTCCTTGATTCTATTTCTAGAAGTAACATATTTCTAGATTTTGTTTTCGAGTAAATGGTTATTTTTTGCATCAGCTCCAAACATGTAATTTACTTTTAGGAATAGAAAGTATTCAACAATAACTTTGTATGGATAGTATGCAAACTCAAGTTTCTAGCTCAGAACTTGGAATATGTTTAGAAGGCATAGGCTTTACTATTTGGTTTTTAAATGCTTAAATTTATTTTAGTGCAGATTCTTAGTGAAGATAGGATAATGTGGGATTGCTAGGGCTGGTATGTTTTGAGTGCTTGGGTTTTGAAGAGTATGGTGCACCCTTCCCCTTTCCCTGTTGGTGAGTGGAAGGTGGAGGAAATATTGATGGTACTTTTGTGTAGTGAGTGATATCATTCGTGCTAGTGCATGTTATTGTTATCTGAACTTGAGGTATCCTAAAGACTTAACTTTGATTTAAGTTTGTAAATACTTTTTAGCTCAAAAGAAATAATAGCGGAAATTTAGGGGGTTGATGATCATATGAAGAGAAAGAAGTTCGTCATTAGAAACATTTTTTCAACCCCATGATTTTCTGTCCAAAATGTTTAACTGGTTAATTGGTGTTTGCGTGTAGCTGTTTGGTTGGAAGGTCCGTGATTGAATTTCTTTTGGCTGGTCAGTTTTTTATTATGCATGTGGCACTTTGTGATCTTAGGTTCACTAATACTGCAATTCAAAATATGGTGTTATCTTTTTCCCTTAAGTAATTTTAGCTAATGCTATAGAAGTATCAAATATCCAATTGATATCAGTTGCATTAAGTGGAAGCAGGAGAAGAACTCATATATATTAGGCTATGCATGAAAAGTTGATTTGTATGTCTCTGAATTTATCTCATCGTTCTGTTTTTGCTATGTCATTTTTCTGCTTTGAGAAGCAATCAAATCTCTCAAAGGGTCATGAAAGGTGATGCTCAGGCTTTATACTCGAACTGATTCCCTTTGTATAGTTTTATAAAAAAAAATAACAAAAATAGGTAAATTAAACAGCATTTTTTTCTTTTGAAAAGATCAATTCGGGCATATGGAAAAGTCTCTGGTGCTGTCTTAGATTGTTTGCTGGATTCTACATGCACGATTAGTCAATATTTTAAATTTGTTGATTTTTATTTAATGTATATTTATAATCCTTTATGCAGAATGTCCTTTACAAGATGAGTTGCGGAATCCCGGGTTGGAGAAGGAACTCGAGAAAAGGATACGAAGGAGAAAAGAAGGTTCCAATGTTAGAGATAAACATTATGATGATTTTAAAGAAATTGATGAGAGGCTCTTGTTATCAAGAGGTGATCCTGCGAAAGATGTGAAATACAGAGAAGATAGGCACAAGGATGGAGGTAACAAGGACAAGTATCAGAAAGATGGCCAAAAAGATGGTAAGCACAGGGACGACAAGTACCGGGACGATGCCGACAAATACAGTAAATTTCGGGATGGTAAGTATCGGGAAGATGGTGATAGAGATGCCAGACATAGAGATGAGAGACGTCGAGAGGATGGCAATAGAGACAGCAGACATGGGGATGAAAATTTTCGGGACGATGGAGGGAAAGATAACAAGCAGAAAGATGATGAGTATTGGGAAGGCACTGCAAGAGACATTCAGAACAAGGATGATAAGTATGCGGAAGATGGCGAAAGGGGTAATAGACGTAGAGATGATCGATACCATGGAGATATTGACAAATATGGTAGGCGCAATGATGAAAGGTATCACGAAGATGGTGACAAAGATGACAGACAAAGGGGTGATTATAGAGAAGATGGTGATAGAGATGGTAGATACAAGGAAGATAAGCATCGGGAAGATATTGAAAGAGACTGTCGGCATAAGGATAGCAAGCGAGGAGATGATTTTGGTAGAGTGGATAGACTGAGAGAGGCTAAGTATAGGGATGAACATGCCTCAAGAGACTTCTCTGCTGACAAGTCTGAACCCAAGCACTCTAGGGATGATGGTTATGGAGAAAATCGTCGCTCCAGGAAATTAAAAGCATATGATTATAGTCCAAAACTGGGTGATCAAACTGCGAGGTATAAAGATGATCAGGGTAGGAGAAAAACCAAGGACAAAGCGGATTACGATGATAATAGATCCCAAATTACCAAGGTTAAAGACCTTGAATCAGAGAAAAAATCTGCCAGCGGTGTGAGAATGGGCGTGGTTACTGAGAGAGAAAGGTCAATATCTAAGAATGCTGATGTAGAACTTACTTCTAATCATATCAGACGGCACAGTTCTCCTAGCTCAAGTTCTCATGGTACAAGGGATCCCAACAGGTACTTGATTATGCACGATTATTTATTGACTGAAAGATTCAAGTTAATTTAACAAATAGAGACTTTCTAGGAATGGTTAGTATCCTGAATGCTGCAAAACCTTTGATCATATATTGGCTCTGCAATCTGTCGACTTTCTCGTTGTCATCGGATAGTGAAGTTTTTTATCTGAAAGTTCTATCTGATTGAATGAGCTCAGATAAAATGCTGAAAAACAATGCAATTCTTCTTGGACGTGTTATTTTTTATGTGAATGGAAAACATTGTAAGGAAAGACTTAGCTTTTCCCTTGATAATCTTCCCTGTTCCTTCATGGGTGGGCCCTTTCTGCATTCTATATATGCTGCCTCCTTTCTCATTTTGGTGGAATACATACCAAATTTGATCTTAATAAGTGGAATGAAGTTCTTATGTCGCTTTTTTTCTCTCTTTTCCATTATTCTCTTTCTTTCTTTTCATCTGGGCTTTTTTTGGGTGGGAGTGGTTTCTGTCAGTTGTAGTAGAATGGGTTGACGTATTAGCAGTTTGTTGGTTAAGAAGTTAAGTATTTAAGAGCATTGTACAAGGTGTGCTCTTTTTATGTAGATGTGTACATTAAAGCTACTATGCCCATTCTAGGTCTGCCAAGTTCACTTTGAACTTGAAATTCATTTGGTTTGTTGTTCTTGGTTCCTGCAATAGTACGCTTCTTCTAATTTATGCACTTCATTCCTCAGCTACAGGATTGACTAAGCATGAATCTATGTGCATTTGCTGTTTTTCAGGCTCCCAAAACAAGAAGACTCCAAGTATTATGCTTATGAAGAGAGAGTTCGGTACAGCAGAGATTATTCTAGTGCTGCAGGAGGAGCTTCTAGGACAACCCCATCTAGATCGATGGATAAACTTGATATTAAAGAAGACAGCCAGTTGGGAGAATTGTCAGCCGAAAGGCGTCTGAAATCAGACATTCGCTCGTCTCCCTTGCAGCTAGTGGATAAATCCTCAGCATCAAGCACTGATTGGAGATTCTTCGCTAGATCTGATGTAAGGCAGAGTCTTGATGTTGAAGAATCAGCAAAGCGGAGTGGTGCTCTGCTAGATGCAAAGGGGTACTCTGGTAAAGAAGGCAGGGGAAGACGTGAGTTAGTCATGGACATACTTCCTGGAGATGAACTTTCACAGGCTGATGCAGATAATTTATCTGTTTCTTCACCTTTTACGAGAAATAGCCATTTATCTAACAGTTTTAAGTCAATGCAACCAGCTCCTCTCTTCAGGACAGGGTTGGAGAGCCCTCTATTATTAGGATCTGCCGAAGACAACGGCAGAAGTCAGTCAAATAGCCATAATAGGAGGATTGGCAATACCAACATGGGAAGAGTTCAAGGAAATGCTTTGAGAGGTGTACCAAATTGGCCTTCCCCTTTGGTAAATGGTTTCATGCCTTTTCCTCACGGTCCACCTTTTCATTCAGTGATGCAGCAGTTTCATGGTCCACCAATCTTTGGCAGTAGATCATCTATGGAGTTAAACCATCCCTCTCCTTACCATATGCCTGATGCTGACAGGTTTTCTGGCCCTGGGCGTCCTTTGGGATGGCACAATCCGGTGGATGATTCATGCCCTCCTCCACTGTATGGTTGGGATTCAAGCAGTGCTGTCTATGGTGAGGATTCTCAAATTTATGGAAGGCCAGATTGGGACCATTCTAGGAACCTGCCCTGTAGTAGAGGCTGGGAGACCAGAGGAGATTTGTGGAATGGACCATATAAATCTGCAAGCATTGATATGCCGTCTTCTGATAAAGAGAATGGCTTCTCTCAAATTGCAGATGAACCTTTGGTTGATCAGACAATTCAACAAGCTAAAAGCGAGTTAACTGGACCTGATAAGCATGCTGAGAGCACTGACATTAGTCAATCAAGAGATGGTTTGGGAAGGAATTCTGCTGAAGCTTCCTATATTAATCAAGAGGAACCTAGTGATATTGCTAAAATGTCAAGAAACGACAATTCCTATCTTTGCCATGTCTACTTTTCCAAGCTTGACATATCTGCTGATCTTACTGAATCCAAGTTGTTTAATAAGTGCACTGGCTTCCTTGATATAGATCAGAGCATTATTTCTGATGTGCATGATTCTGAACTTTTTTTTATGGAGGTAAAAATGACAACAATTATGCATTTAATTGCTGTCTTATAGATCTGCCCAGACGTTAAAAAGTTTATTGTTAATGCCATTTTTCTTTTTCTTCGACAGGAAGCTGTAGAAGCCACAGCAGCATCTCCTTCTAAAATTAACAACTTTTCACTGTTTTCTGCCACGAGTGATTCTATTTTCCAGGTAAAATTTTGTTATGGATAACATACATCCCTTTATTGTTTAAAGAAATTGTTTTGATGTAATGCAGCATATTTATTTGGGTATATAACCAGATCAGCAGTTTCTATTGTGAAGGTTATATGCAAAACGGTTCCCATGTCACCTTACCACGTTTGTACAAAACAGTGAATTCTTGTGCCACTTGTATATCCAGTCTGGCCTGGGGATTTTGTAGATGTCCTTAGTTGCTTTTTGTGTGAAGTTTTCTGTTGGGAATGCTGAATTGTATTTCATCGGATAGAAAAACTTTTTATTATTGAAGTAAAGTAGGTTTTTTACCATTTTGTACATTGTTTTGAGGTAAAGCTAGGAAGACTGGAGGATTGATGCATATATAGGGTGTGTGTGATGGATATTATTGGGGAAAGAATGTATTTTAAATAGTGATATGATGGAAAATATATGGTTAAAAAGTAAGGAAAAGTTATTGATGTGATGGAAAATATTATTTTATTGAAGAATGTGTGGTTGAAAATGAGTAATGAAATAGTGTATTTTGAAAGAACGTGTGTCAAACGGGGGCATAATACTATAAATCGTACGAATATTCCTTAATATTTTGTTTGCCTGTCCACCCTTTGTGATGCAGAAAGCGTTGTCCTTATATAAGAGGCAGAAGGAAGACTTTGGAGGGAGTGCAAATATGGAGTCAATTCTGAAATCTAATGAGGAACTGAATGCAGAGGACAACAATACCGAGAGATCTCCATCTGGTGGCATGCAAGAAGTAGGGAATGCTCTTCCTAACTCTAATGGGGAGGTAGAGATTTCAAATAGTCTTCAAGTGGAAGAGAACACCAAAAACTCCCATCTGAAGCTCAATCTACCAGTTGCAAGTGTGGTGGACAAATCAGAGCCAGTTTCTGCCTCCAACCATGTCACCAACGAAGTGGATTTGGTATTGAACCAGGTGCCACAGGAGCGTATTCTTGAGAACCCTTTGTCCAGCGAATGTGTAGAAAAATTTGATGGCAGTTTATCTGCAGGGGTTGGAGAAGTGCATATGGAATTTGCCAGTAACAATGAGGAACAGAGTGTGTTTGATACTAATTGTGGTCCTGTGCGTAATTCTGATGTGTCTTTTGAGTCACACGAGGCAATGATGCCAGAGTTAATTGAGTCTGCACCAGTAAATTTGAGTCGGATACATCATTCCCCTGAAAGTACACATTGAGACAATTTATTTTTCTGAGATTTTTAATTGCGGCCCATGTTTTATCTTATAATCTCTTTGCTTGCTCTCCTTGTCTAGTTAATATATAAAATTTTCAAGTTTTTTTCAACAGTTATTTGTCTAATTTCTGTTCCAAGTTGACAAACATGGTCAGTCCCTTGCTCCGGGAGTATGGGGAAGGAGTTTGAGTCATCAGCTCTGTGGTCTACTACATCTGAGAACTACCCTACAATGTTGCGAATGAACTCCTTTGGATTATGAGGTACTCATGCTTTAACAACCTTTTGTTTACTCATTTTTTATCATATTTGGTAAAGAGGATTTGGATGGTACTCAAAGCAATCTTATCCCGAGTCTTTGTGCGTCTTTCCTCTCGAATTTGGATCTATTTTGTATCCTATTCAGATTTCATTCTGGGCCAGAAGTATGGCAAAAGGTCGTTTGAGATCTAATTTTGTGGGCATAAATCATAAATGTATGCTCAAAAAATTTGCTTACAAGAATTACATTTGTTTTAAACAAATAGTTTCTGTGTTGGTCGGAAGTTTAAAACATTTAGCATGTGGTCTAAAGATCGATTGGGGAAGGAAACTTTTTTTTTTAATTTTTTTGAAAGACTGCCAGTGTTTCAGAGTTCGTAATTTTCTTTGAAATCTAAACAAGTGATCTTTACATAAACAAACTTACTTTGGATTTTCTATGTACTTTTTTGATAGAGGAGACTTGACGAGAATTTATTTGATCTTTCTGAGTATTTATTTCATGCTATATTCTTCTAAATTCATGAACACAATGACCTAAACTAAAGTGTTCTCTTTTCCCTCATAATTTCAATTTTTTTGAATGGATATGAATGATTGAGTTGGGTGAGGACAATGATTTGTACCATTGTTTGAAGGGACATTTTTTTATACTTTCGTAGAGGTGTAGGCGAATGCGTAGCGTAGGTGAGGTGAGGAGGTAAACCGTAAACTACACGACCAGGCCAAAAACAATAAAGTTACTGCGCAGTTAGTAATTACATATTTACAGTACACATTTTTCTCCCTCCTGAAGAATTTTGTAAGAAAGTAACCCAAATCAATTTCGTGTCCGGAAAATTTTTATAACAAATTTGTTTAATTAACATAGTTTCGTGTCTGGAATTTTTTATTTTTATTATTTTTTCTACCTGGAATTTTGCAAGTTATATGCTAATTCGATTTTTGTTGTATGTCAATGTTATGAGGATGTCAATATTCTATTTGTCTCCTTCAGATGATGTCACATTGTGGAATGTGTGCATTCTGTGATGTCCAATAAAGGTTGAAAAAATTCGAAGTCACGTAATCACCAACTTGTTTTAAATAAAAATCAGATAATTAGTAGATTTTGATAAGTTGATGGAGTATGTGATTGAAAAATTGCTAAAAATTGTGAAGAGTCATAAAATGTGAAAAAAATGAATTTGAGAAAAAATGAGCTTAGAATACGGATAAATAAGAGGAAATATGTCGCGGCAACTTCTAAATAGTTGATCTTCTACTTCTGGAAAGGTTTAACGTTCGAATAAATGTTAGCGTCTCTTACAGATGGGTCGCATAAAAATAGGACGGTACTTGAGATTTTTGGGCCTAAGTTGAGCTTTAGAAGTTTGGCCTTCTAAGACTAACTATAGTACACTTGAAAAACATTCATTCACTAGAGTTTTCGGTAGGATCTGTTTAGCATGACATTTGAGAAGTTAAAAAGAGATTTGGCATGACTTTTAAGAAGTTAAAAGAAGCTTTTGAGATTCAAAAATTACTTTTAGACTCGTTTGAATAATTTTATAAAAGTGTTTTGTCTAAAAATGTTTTGAAAAGAAACTGATATAACATGGTTTCCTTTTAAAGTACTTTTGAAATAAGAAGTTATTTTAAAAATTAGTTTCCAAATAAAAAATTAAGATAGTTTTCTCCAAAAACTTTTTTATAGAAAGCAATAGCAAAAGCAAAAGCAAAAGCCATTCCAAATAAGCCCTAATTTTATTAAAGTATTTCTTCTAGTTAAAAGAATTTTTAGAGAAAACTGATCTAATGTAAATTTCTCTAAACATACTTTCGAAATAGGATGCTCTTTCAGAAATTAATTTTTAAATAAAAATTAAATCTATTAACTTAAAATTTAGCATTAAAATGGAAATTATTTTTAAAATAATAAAACGACTAAAAATGTAATATCTAAATTATTTATATTTTAATCAAATAATAAAGTTGAAAATGTTCAAATGATAATTGTAATCTACAAGCCCTTCAGTTTATACAATAACGAAATGGCAAGAAAATTATTTTTATTATTTGGCCAACGCTTTCGTTTGGGGATTTAGTAATTCTCATGTCTAAAGGTAAAGTTAGGAGTTTTAATTTGTGTCTCACGATCCGTTTCTACTTAAAATAAAATTACTATTTTATTCAGGACTTTTTGTTAAAAGGAAATATAAAAGTGATCAATTTTGAATTAAAACAGAAAACTGAATAAAATATGAAAAAGTAAATTGACAACTTTGTAATTAGAAAAAAAAAAAATTAAGTTTTGGTCAAAACAAACTTAAAAAAATAGAAAAGTAAAATTGTAAAAATAAATAGAAATCAAAGTTATCTATCCAAATAAATACAAAAATAAATCAAACAAAATGTAAAAATTTCAATCCCGATATATATAAGTAAAGAAAAAGTACAATTATATTCGAGTTAAGTGCAAAAATTAAAAAACTCACCATACTTCTTCGAACATTTTACATAAATTTCTCACAAATAATTGTGCACTCAACTATATTTTAATGAGATTTGAGCGTAAAAAAGATTGAGTAATTCATTTTCTAGATTTTGGAATTGAAAATGAAGGAAGCATTTAGGTCTAAAAAATTAAATTAAATGTTAAATATAGAGTTTTGTCAGCTTTTCCTTCCTAAATGTGAGAAAATTAATCCAAAAGTTGACAGAAAAAAAAGGGAGTGAAACTTGGAAAACTAAAAAGTCTCTTAAAGGAGTGAATTGTTTCAAAAATCACAGAACTTATACCATAGTCACGGAATGCTCACCGAACTTCATTTTGCTTCACAGTATTCACTCAATTTTGCCATTTACCTCTCCATCCACCACCGTCAAAAAAATCCGATTTTTGGGCGCTGACGTGGTTAACGGAATTCCTAGGTAGCGTCTGACGACCGTTAAAAAATTACAAATCAGCAAAATCATTATTTCATCACTCATCCAACTTACACTATGTTACAGTTTACTCATCGAACTTCAATGGTCACTCATCTTTAAGAATTGCACTTGATCCATTATTCGTCATATTTTATTCACTTCGTTGCTAATTTATTGTCCGAAAATTTCACGAGATAAAGTGATATTTCTAAAGAATAATTGAGGACGCTTTATTGGATTTTTAAAAAGTTTATGAGGCCGCGGAACATCCATTAAACAAAAACAGCAACTGATCTCATAAAAGTCAGAGAAGGGATCAGTTTTCTGATGCAAGATAAAAAAGGATCAATCAGTTTCTCCACGTCATACGGTACATAAAAAGGCAATAAGTTGTTCGATTTTTCAGTATCTTCCAAGGCAGGCTCCATCAGAAGTTCAAATACAGCCACCCAACTGTTAAAAGAGAGAAGGGTCAATAAACAACTGGAAAACGTGAAAAAAAATATTAAAGGATACCAAATTGTGGAAACCATTTAAGAAAGAAAAAAGGCGACAACCCAGCACAGCCATGATATTCGAATCAACCATGAAAACATTCAACATTTCATATCATGCAGAAACTACTGCAAAAGGGCAGTGAAACTTTTTCTTCAAATGGAAGTTGCTATAGACAAGATATTTAATGAAGCTGGTCCAATAAGTTGATGAATTGAAGGGATGGAAGAAACTTCAAGACAGATCAGACTCTTTAAGAAAAATAACTTTATCGTATCATAAATTCATAGAACCATATACACTCAGTAATTGTTACATACCAAGATAGCTTCAATCTCCTCTTGTGACACTGATGTCCTTTTCGGCTGATCAGAAGCCTTTCCACCCACACTCATGCTGGATGGAGGCCTTGTAAAAAATGTTCGTGGAACATCCCCAACCGCAGATGTTTCTTGATGATGGGGGCCTGTAACTGAAGAGGACAATCTTTGTTAGCAATGTTCTAAATTATTTGAGTTGATACTGAGAAAATTAGATGCATATTTTAGGCAGAAAATTCATTTCCCAACAAAACAAGCCTCGTGAGCCACAATAAACGTTCTTCTTCCATTTCCTGATTAGGAAAGCACAACCAAGCTCTATGCATCCCATATAATACCACAATAATCACATAGGAGACGAATATTGCAGAACTTCCCATTGGAAAATTTGAACAAATATCAAAATTTATATCCACGAAAGATATTCGGGATTGTATCAAGATTGGCTTTTGAAGAGGTGAGGTTGGTGATGTAGTAACTTTAGAATTGGGGCAACCAGTGCGCAGTCAGCGCTGGTACGATGTTGAATGCATAAATAAATTTGCAGAAATGTGTGTTATTGTCTGTGCTCATGCATGTGCACATTTGCATTTATGTATTTATTTATTTCTTTATTTATTTTTATTTTTGATGTATGAGAGAAAAAATAATGAGAAAGAGGAGGTTGTGCGAAAAAACGAAATTTAAGAAGATAGAATTGTTCTAATAAAGGGCAATATGTGAAAAGGGACAAAAAAGTGTTCATTTAATGGAAATGAGCATTATATTGAAACAGACAGAGGAAAACGATAATTTCAAGAGAAAATGTGGATAATGTTTCTACAGAAGCACCAAGCCACAAATAATTCATAAAATAGCTAATCCTTTCTTCTAAATCTTAAAATTTAAATCACATATTAAATATTTCAATTAATCTGTTAGCAAGGAAGCACCAAAACTCCAGCAAGTCCTTTCTCTATTCATGTACAAAAACTGATTTTGGTTACATGGTATCAGTCAGTCGGCCATTTGTTGT